GGCTCCTGGCTCAGCGGGGAACCTGCTTCTCCCTCTCCCACTCCCCGTTTGTGTTCCCTCTCTCGCTGTGTCTTTCTCTGTCAAATAAATAAATAAAATCTTTAAAAAAAAACAAAACAAAAAAAAACCCCTCTAAATAAAAAGATTAAAAAAAAAAACCCTCCGGGCGCCTGGGTAGCTCAGTCGGTTAAACATCTGCCTTTGGCTCAGGTCATGATCCCAGGGTCTTGGGATCGAGCCCCACATCGGGCTCCCTGCTCAGTGGGAGGCCTGCTTCTCCCTCTTCCACTCCCCCTGCTTGTGTTCCTGTTCTCGCTCTCTCTCTCTCTGTCAAATAAATAATAAATAAAATCTTACAAAAAAACCCCAAAACCGTCAACAAATTAGTAGGAGTAGCAAGAAACTGCCTCAACGTAATACAAGCCATACATGAGAAACCCACAGCTCACATCGCACTTGATGGTGAAAGACTATAAACTTTTTTCCTAAGAGCAGGGACAGGGCAAGAAATGTTGGCTTTTGCCACTTCTAGTCAACACAGTGCTAGCCAGGGCAATCAGGCAAGAAAATGAAAAGGCACTGGGTTGGAAAAGAAAAAATTAAAAGTTATCTCTGATCACAGAGGATATGCTCTTAGTGTAGAAAACTCAAATAATGTGCACGTGCACACACACACACACCATCTGCTAGAATAAACAAATCCAGCAAAGTAGCTGGATACAAAATAAACACACACAAATCAGTTATGCTCCTGTATGCTAATAGTGAACAACTTGAAAAGGAAATTAAGAAAACAATTCCATTTACAATAGCATCAAAAAAAAATAACTTAGAAATTAACTTAACCAAGAAAATAAAATACACGAGAACTACAAAACACTTCTTAAATAAATGAAAAAAGACACAGAAATTCACAGAAAGACATCCCATATTTGTGGACTGGAGAATTAAATATCCACTGAGCTGTTGGCACTACCTGAAACGACCTAGAGATTCAATGCTGTCACG